GGACTGCTCTGCTAACTCTTCATCTATGTTGCAAGGAATATTGGATTGCTCAACAGAATGGGAGAACTACTGCCCACCAAATCTTGCCGCAATTATCAAGTGGAGGCAGCCTGAGTCATACTAAAAGTTAGGGAAGCTACAAGGAATAGCATGGAATATGATCTTTGTCATGGGACCTACCATGTGAAAGAAATTTCCATTGAAAGCAAATGGACTTTTTGGGTGAATGGATTTCAAGCATTTGAAAAGAAATGCCATGGGACTTCTAAAGGAAATTTGGGCATAAAGAATATGATGATACATGTAATTGCACATAAAGTAAACTCTTAAATTTCTTTTTTATGTAAGGGGCAAGGTTTAGGTCCTCCCCTATTTTCTTTATAATTTTGTCATTAATAAATTTTACCCAACATGGGTTTAAAAAAAAATGAACCTTCAATTTCGTCCAACTAACACTCAATTGATCAAATTAACACCAAATTAATATTTAATTTATCCAATTTATATTTTTTTAACAATTCAATTCCATTTCATCTAAACAAAATCATTATGGTCAGAAGCTAAAATTTCCCTTAACTTAATTGGTGTGTTGCCTACCCAATGTTTTATTTTGGGAAGGGGGAGGGGAAATGGGAAGGGGTAGGGGGACTTGAACCTTGACCTCAAGAAGGCAAAACCTTTACAAGACAAGGAATACCATTAGACCAAAGGCCTATTGGTAGAATTTTTTCTTTTTTTAGGGGGAGGGAGAGGGGGACTTGAACCCTTGACCTCAAGAAGACAAAACTTTTACAAGATAAGGAGTATCATTAGACCTTCACAAGATAAGTGTTGCCTACCCAATGCCTTGGAAGAGATTGGGTTAATTTCACTATAGCTACCCACTAAGCTGCTTGATTAAAAGCTTGGGATACAAAGGAAAAATGTAGATTAAGTAATCTTGTGCATGCTCTAATAACTTCGGCAATAACTTCTAACTCCCCCTCATTTGAGATTAACTGGATAACATCCTGATTGTCACTCTCCACAATTACATTTCTCGNTTTTTTCTTTTTTTAGGGGGAGGGAGAGGGGGACTTGAACCCTTGACCTCAAGAAGACAAAACTTTTACAAGATAAGGAGTATCATTAGACCTTCACAAGATAAGTGTTGCCTACCCAATGCCTTGGAAGAGATTGGGTTAATTTCACTATAGCTACCCACTGAGCTGCTTGATTAAAAGCTTGGGATACAAAGGAAAAATGTAGATTAAGTAATCTTGGCATGCTCTAATAACTTCGGCAATAACATCTAACTCCCCCTCATTTGAGATTTACTGGATAACATCCTGATTGTCACTCTCCACAATTACATTTCTCGACTGTAAGGATTGAGCCAAAAGATAGGCCTCTCTTACTGTCTCTGCTTCAACTATTTGAATGGAGATGGCTTTAAAATATTTCATTGTTCCCTCTAATAATCGCCCTCTATTGTCTTTGATAACTACCCCCAAAGCAACTTATTTAGTGCTAAGTATGGAAGCACCATCACAATTTATCTTTTGCTGCAAGGGGTCTAGTGGGAGCCAAACTGAGTGGCCCATAGAATTTTCTGCATTGCAAGGATGGAAATCTACTCTTTGTCTATCAGTACACTTTGCTTCTCCCCATAGTTGCTGGATTCTAAACAAAGTCGTGACTAGGTTCGGTTCATGGCCATTATAGACAGTTTCATTCCTTGTTTTCCAAATCATCCATGCTGTCATAACCACTCTGCTGAGAACCTCTATTGCCTTTTGGTGGTTGCAAAGATTTTCTATTAGCTTAACTATCCATTGTCGGATCGAAAGGACTGGTTTTGCCTCTGCTCTGTATCCAAATTCCAATCTAAACCATACTCTGTGTCCAGCTACACTCTAACAAAAGATGTTCTATAGTTTCTGCTTGGCTCTTGCATATTTGACATAACTGGATCTACTATGCATTTCCCTTTAAACAAATTATGTTGAGTTGCTAAAGAGTTTGAAACCACCCCCTCCACCAGAAGTGTCGAATCCTTGGAATTGTCTTGAGATTCCAACTATAGTTCCATATAAAAGGTTTAAAAGAACTAAATGACTCCCCTCCTCTTGCTCTTGTGTTTTCTTTTCCATCTTGGGCTAACCAGTAACTAGATTTAACTGAATATTTTCATTTTTTTATCAAAATGCCATACCCTATTATCTTCCCCCGCCACCACATTTGACAATGGTATTGCTTGCACTATTTGACATTATGTTCATTCAGAATCGATAAGAGAATATCCTGCGTCCATTCTCCATATCTTTGATCAATAACTTCATGAACCAATTTGATCTCGTTGTCCTCTGGACGAGGGGATAAAATAGTGAAGGAATGGCTAGTTGGAAGCCATTTAACCTCCCAAAACTTTATTTTATTTCCTTTACCATTTCTTTGCTTCCATGAAATCAGATGCTGGGAAGTAAATGGATTTCATAATTTGTGCCCAGTATGCCTAAGAAAATTGTAAGAACCTTCTCCCTTGTGTTGATAATAAAGCTTGATTCCAACATTTGAAGTCCTTTAAACCTATATCCCTCCCAATGCCTTAAGTAGAGTTAGAGTATGCCAACTTTGCCAGTGAATTCTGCTTACTTCAAAATTATCTTCCCACCAGAAATTTTGGATGTATGAATTAATCTTTTCACAAAAGTTCTGAGGGAAGTGATTGCATGACATAGCATAAGATGGAATAGCTTGTACCACATATTTATCCAAACCTCCTTTCCCACTTCCGACAGAAAAAGATTCTTCCCCCTTTGGATTTTATTCATAATTCTTTCCAACAGACAAGTGAAAGTTTATGCTCGAGTTCTGCACCAGAAGGTGGGGATCCCTAAGTACTTGCAATTTCCTGACGCTGGTGGAATTTGGAAGATTTGTCCTACCGACTGTTTCAGTTCTTCACTAGAATTTTTAGAGAATAGAACACCAGATTTTGAGAGATTGATTTCTTGACCAGAAGCTTCACAGTCTATAGCTAGAATAGTTTTGAATTTAATTCCTTCATTCTATGCTGCTTTGACAAAAAATAGAGAGTCATCTGCAAAAAAAGAGGTGAATGAGCATTGGGCTCCTTTTTCTGATCTTGAAAGCTTCCAGTCACCCCTTAGCAACCTCCTTCTGGATCATTCTTGATAGGGCATCAGCTATTAAGAGGAATACGTAGTGTGACAAAGGATCACCCTGCCTTATTCCCCTTTGTGGAATGACTTCCCCTCTTTTTTCCCCATTCATCCCAATCTCAAAGCTAACTATTGAAACACATTGCATTATAAGTCTCCTCCATTGGGATCAAATCTCATTTTTGTTAGGACCCTCTCCACCATTCCATTTGTCGTAGCCCTTGTTGTGATCCAGCTTGATTGCCATAATAGCCTTTTTTTTCCTTTCTTCTTGAGCTTCATCGCATGGAATGCTTCATTTGCTATCATTTTATTGTCATGTATCTTTCTTTGAAGCACACTGCTTGGTTTTGAGAAACTAGATGGGGAAGAATAAGCTTCAACCTGTTTGCTAGCACTTTGGAAATAATCTTATAGATAAAATTACATAAAGCTATCGGGCGAAATTGTTTCATATTTTCAGGGGCCTTCTCCTTTGGAATTAGTACAATATGTGTATGGTTCATTCTTGGGGGCAAATGAGCATCTATGAAAAATATTTTAACCATATTATAAACCTCTTGACCAACTAAATGCCAGAATGTTTGATAGAAGATGCCTTGGAATTCGTCGGGGCATGGGGATTTGAGGGATTCCAGTTGAAAGACTACTTTATGCACCTCTTGGTCTGTTATCCGTTGCAGGAGCCTATTGTTCATTCTGTTAGACACCAGTGAAGGAATCACATCCAGTGGCTTTGTGAGGTTCCTCTGTCCCATAGTTTTGAAAATTTTTTGAAAATAGTTCTTGACATGATCGTTTATTTCATCTTCTTTCTCCAACCACTCGCCCTCTTCTTCCTTGATTATGAGAATCTAGTTTCTTTGCCTCCTCTGAATTGCTTGCATATTGAAGAACTTTGTATTCTTGTCTCTTGTCTCAGACCAATAAATCCCCAATCGCTAAAGCCAATATGCCTCATCCCTTTGCATTGCTGCATCCAGATTGGCTTTAATTTCATTCTCTACTTGAAAATTTTCCTTGGTTGGCTTCTTTATTTGGATTCTGATTAAATCCACTTGAAGCCTTCCTATTGCTTTCTTATTATTACCAAATTGTTGCCTGCTTCTTTGAGCCAAATTTGTGCTACAGATTTCCAACTTCTTTTGGATGCCCTGGTTTTGAATTCCCTCTTCCCAACTCTTCTTAATCCTTTCCTCACACTATTCTGATTCAAGCCACATTGAAATTAATGAGTAAAGGGCAGTGATCTGACCCAAATCTTGACTCATGCAAGACCTATGCATTTGGGAAAATGATTCTCCAGTGTGGATTAGCTAGAACTCTATCCAGCCTTTCTTGTACGTTTCCAACACCAAGCCTATTGTTGCACCAAGTGAAACTCAAACCTTTAAAATCCATCTACATCACTCCATAGTCCGTGACTAGCTGCTACATTTCCTCACTTTGCCTTAAATTTTTCACCCTCCCACCTTTCTTTTCCCAAACTGAATTAACAATATTAAAATCCCCAATAATTAACCAAGCTCCAGTCATATTATGGCCAATGTTTCTGAGGGCTTGCCATACCTTCTGTCGTTTTGCATATTTGGGGTCTACATAAACAAAGGAGGTTAGCCATACAAGCCGATGTTTCTGAGATGAACAATGTGTGTAGATCATGTTGCTATCCTTTGATTGAATCTCCACTCTAAAGAGCCAATCCACTAGATAAACAATAGGGTCCACATACTCGCTATTTGGATACCTTACTGATCTTCGTAGCCATTCCAATTTCCTTATTTTATTCTTAGTTTCCATCAAGAAGACTATGTTTGGATGATGGGTGTTGATCAGTCCTCACAATGTACAAACTGTCTGGGGTTGTCCCACTCCCTGACAGTTCCAAGAGAGCACTAACATGGACCTTCTGGTTGTTCAGGGCCAACCACCACCGTCTCTTTAAGGACCGAGTCTATCTCCTCCTCCTCCAGAAACATGCCACAATCTTGAGACACCCAATGAGTAACAAATCTCCATATTACTTTAGTCCTGTGCCTCCCCTTCCACCTGTTGCACATGTTAAATTTCCTGAATCAGTTGTACTGGAATGTCTGCCTTTGATACTACTTCTTTTCTTTCTTCCTGCTATGCCTCGACTCCCTTTAGATTGCTTCCTTTTGTATCAGCAAGACCAATCCTGAGAGTCTTTCCTCTTTGTTCCGGCTTCAATTGAATTCCCTGTTCCGTTAAAGCTTTCCTTCATTTTGATTTTGGTGAGCAAAATTAACACTCAATTCAACAAATTAACATCCAAAATCATCCAATAAAGATTCAATTTATCAAATCACCACCAAAGTAACATACAATTTCATCCAATTAAAATTTAATTCATCAAATTAACACCAAATTAAGATTCAATTCATCAAATAAACATTCAATTTCATCTAGTTAACATTAAAAGGACCTCAATCCCATTGCGACTTTTTGTCAGCCCGAAGCAACATTGGGGGAGATTCTTTCAACTAATAGAAAAGAAATCGTTCTGTGGAACATGAAGCAAATCATCAGGATCAACTAGTGTGCTGGACTCCTCCCACTCAGAATAGGCTCAAAATCAATTGTGATGGTGCCTTTCAGACTAATCCAAATTAGGCAGCAATGGATATAATCATCAAGAACAAAAAAGAACATTTAATTGAAGGGAAAGCAAAGTCAATCCCTTACGTTTCTAGTAGATTTTTCAGAAGCTCGAGCTGTAAGGGAGCATGCCTGCTGACAAAAGAACTAAATCTAGAGAATGCAATTTTTGAATCAGATAGCTTCAAAATTATCCAACTAAGTTCGACGGAAGATGTACCTCCATATGAGGCCACTCTGTTCATTTAAGACATTAGATACTATGCCAAGGCCCTTAATTTGACTTTTGCCCACACTTCAAGGATGCAAAACAAACCAACTCATTGGATTGTTACATTCCAGGAAAAGCATTTGCTTCCAGCAAACGGGGTTTATTAACTCGCCAAGGGAACTTTCACATTTTGTTGCATGTTGATTGTAATTTTGTGAATGATTCATAGTGCAATACAATCTTACATGTTCAAAAAAAACATTAAATTTATCCAATTAACACTCAATTTCGTCCAATTAACACCCAATTCATCATATTAACACCANGAAAAGCATTTGCTTCCAGCAAACGGGGTTTATTAACTCGCCAAGGGAACTTTCACTTTTTGTTGCATGTTGATTGTAATTTTGTGAATGATTCATAGTGCAATAAAATCTTACATGTTCAAAAAAAACATTAAATTTGTCCAATTAACACTCAATTTCGTCCAATTAACACCCAATTCATCATATTAACACCAAATTAGCATTCAGTTCATCCAATTTGTATTCAAATTCATCCAACTAACTTAATTCCTCAAATTAACATCCAAAATCATTCAATAAAAATTCAATTTATCAAATCACAATTTCATCCAATTAATATTCAATTAATCAAATTAACAACAACTTAACATTCAACTTCATCTAATGAACATTCAATTCATAAAAATAAAATTTAAATTCAACTAAGTTAACATTAAATTCATCAAATTACCATTCAGTTTCATCCAATTAACACCTAATTCATCAAATTAACATCAAATTGACATTCAATTCATCCAATTAATTCAATTAAAATTTAATTCGTCAAAGTAACACCAAATTAAGATTCAATTTCAACTAATCAAATTAAATAAATCAAATTAACATTAAAATTCAACTAGTTAACATGAAATAGTTAAATTAACATTTAATTTCATCCAATTAACACTCAATTCATCAAATTAACATTCAATTCATCCAATTTATATTCAAATTCATCCAATTAACACTCAATTCATCAAATTAACATCTAAAATCATCCAATAAATATTAAATTTATCAAATTAAAACTAAAGTAACATGCAATTTCATCCAATTAATATTTAGTTCATCAAATAAACACCAAATTGACATTTAATTTCATCTAATAAACATTCAATTCATCAAATTAATATTTAAATTCAACTAGTTAACATTAAATTCCTCAAATTAACATTAAATTTTATCCAATTAACACCCAATTTATCAACTTAATACAAAATCAACATTCAATTCGTCTAATTTATATTTAAATTCATCCAATTAAAACTCAATTCATCAAATTAACATTCATTTTATCAAATTAACTTCTAAAATTATTTTATGTTAATTTGATGAATTGTGTGTTAATTGGATGAAATTAAATGCTAATTTGATGAACTTAATGTTAACTAGTTAAATTTGAAAGTTAATTTGATGAATTGAATGTTAATTTGGTGTTATTTGTTTGAACTGAATTTTAATTGGATGAAATTTCATGTTACTTTGGTGTTGATTTGATAAATTAAATTTTTATTGAATTATTTTTTATGTTAATTTATTTAATTGAGTGTTAATTTTATAAATTTGAATATAAAATGGATGAATTAAATACTAATTTGGTGTTAATTTGATGAAATGAGATGTTAACTAGTTGAATTTAATTGTTAATTTGATGAATTGAATGTTTATTAGATGAAATTGAATGTTGATTTAGTGTTAATTTGATGAATTGAATATTAATTAGATGAATTTCATGTTACTTTGATGTTGATTTGATAAATTAAATTTTTATTGGATAATTTTGAATCTTAAATTGATGAATTAAATGTTAATTAGATGAATTAAACATTAATTTGGTGTTATTTTGATGAATTGGGTGTTAATTAGATGAAATTGAAGGTTAATTTGCTGATTTCAATGTTAACTGGTTGAGTTTGAATGTTAATTTGATGAACTGAATGTTTATTAGATGAAATTAACTGTTAATTTGATGAATTGAATTTTAATTTAGTGTTAATTTGATGAATTGAATCTTAATTGGATAAAATTGCATGTTACTTTGGTATTAATTTAATAAATGGAATCTTTATTAAATGATTTTGGATGTTAATTTTTTGAATTGAGTGTTAATTGGATAAATTTGAATATAAATTGGGTGAATTGAATGTTAATTTGATGTTAATTTAATTAATTGAATATTAATTGGATGAATTTGAATGTTAAGTTGATAAATTTAGTGTTAACTAATTTAATTTGAAAGGTAATTTGATGAATTAAATATTTATTAGATAAAATTGAATGTTAATTTGATGAATTGAATGTTAATTTTGTGTTAATTTGATGAATTGGATATTAATTGAATGAATTTGCATGTTAATTTGATGACTTAATGTTAAATAGCTAAATTTAAATGTTTATTTAATGAATTGAATGCTTATTAGATGAAATTGAATGTTAATTTGGTGTTGATTTTATGAATTAAATATTTATTGGATTAAATTGCATGTTACTTGGGTACTAATTTGATAAATTGAATCTTTATTAGATAAAGTTGGATGTTAATTTAATGAATTAATTGTTAATTGGATGAATTTGAATATTAATTTTGTGTTAATTTGATGAATTTAATGTTTAGTAGTTGAATTTTAATGTTAATTTGATGAATTGAATGCTTAGTAGATGAAATTAAATGTTAATTTGGTGTTGATTTGGTGAATGAAATTTTTATTCGATGAAATTTCATGTTACTTTGGTGTTGATCTGATATATTGAATTTTTATTGGATGATTTTGGATGTTAATTTGATGCATTGAGTGTTAATTGGATGAATTGAATGTTAATTTGGTATTAATTTAATGAATTGAATTTTAATTGGATGAAACTGAATGTTAAGTTGATGAATTTAATGTTAACTAATATAATCTAAATGTTAATTTGATGAACTAATTGAATGTTAATTTAATGACTTAAATGTTAATTTGGTTTTGATTTGATGAATTCCATATTAATTAGATAAAATTGCATGTTACTTTGGTTTGATTTAATAAATTGATTATGAATGTTAATTTGATGAATTAAATATTTATTAGATGAAATTGAATGTTAATTCGAAATTGAATGACTTTGGTATTGATTTCATAAATTGAATCTTTATTGGATGATTTTGGGTGTTAATTTAATGGATTTAGGTTAATTGAATGAATTTAAATATAAATTATGTAAATTGAAGATTAATTTGATGTTAATTTGATGAATTAAATATTAACTAGATGAAATTAAATGTTAATCTGATAAATTTAATGTTTTTTTTTTTTTTGAGAAACAACGATAATCATATATATTTACTAAACAACACAAGATACATCCTTGTGGAGCTGAGATAACAGAAAAGTAGGAATCTCATCTCTCCACAACATAGAAGTATTACAGTTAACAGCAAATTTGGCTAAACTATGAGCAACTACGTTTCCCTTCCTACTTATCCAAACCACTAAGAAACCTTGGAAATTAAACCTTAACTTATTGATCTGATCTATAAAATGACCCACTTCAAATAATGACTCATGCTTTTGTGATAAAGCTTCAATGAAAGACTTAGAATCACCCTCCAGTATGATATTGGTAAAGCCAAGATCACCCGCCAACTGCACAGCAATAGAAGCAGTCATTGCTTCAATAGAAACTGCACTTAAGACTCCTTCTACTTTCTGACTTAAACCAGCCACAAAATGCCCACAGTAATCCTTGATAACAACACCAACACCAGAACATTGCAACGAGTAAAAATGGCCCCATCATAATTAACTTTGCAAACACCCATTTGAGGTGGTGTCCATATGGTCCTAATATCAGAAACAACTCCAGCAGTAGAATCTCCACTCAAACAATTAACAGCTTGATAATGATAAATATATTCCCTTGAGAAATGGACTATTTCCTGCGGTGATCTAGAGCAACTTTCTACACGGACCTTATTTCGATTAAACCACAAAGCCCGTGAAATGACAGCAACCATTACTACCTCCTCAGATGTTAACTTTTCAGACACATATACAAGCCATTCTTGGATATTCAACATACCTTCTATTGGAACTTGGATTGCAGCAGCTTCCCAAACAACTTTCGCAAAGGGGAAAAATACAGACAAATGGAAAAAAGACTCACCAGGATCACCACATAAAAAACACTCATTTTTAACCATCAATCTCCTTCTCTGTAAATTACACATAATAGGTAAAATATCAATAAAAAAAATGTCAAAGGAAATTCTTGACCTTGCTTGGCACCTGAAGCGACCAGATGAACAATC